GAGCTTGTAACACTCCAAAGAGAAAGGAAAAATTGAAATCGCATCATATGAGCCCTTTAAGCCCTGTAAGTGTCAGGTCAATTTTATTTGTAGGGATTTTTACAATATAAAACAATTTTAGTCTGTTGCTAGGTGTTCTGAGTGATTCTTAACATGTTGCTATATGGTTGCTGGAGTTTTCTGGATGGTTGGTAGGGTGTTGCTATTTTAACACGTTTCTACATGGTTGCTAGAGTTTGCTGGCTACTAGGATGCTTCTATGCAGTTGCCACAGGCGTTCCAAGTGGTTTTTAACACGCTGCTGTGTCATTGCTAGAATTTTCGTTGTGGTTTTTAACACATTACTAAGCATTTTCTGGATTGTTTCTGGGGTCTTGCTTTGCAGTTACCAGTTGCTCCAGGTATCAAGTCAATTTTTAGAGTTGTGTACTTGGACTGACATTTTGGACCCCAGAATCCGTGTAGCGCTTTTCACAATATATACTGTTTTAAAGCAGCTTTAACCAAAATAACCTTTCCTCACCAGGACACGTGATTTCAGGTGTTTGACACTTACTGATGGATGGGGATTTTTCAGATCAGTAACAATGACTAATAACAGTGATGCTCCATTTAAAGTGCCCCTATTACGCCATTTAGCATTGCATGATAGGAGACTCCCAAAACAAAATCAGGAATCGTAAAAATGGCATAATAGGGGCACTTTAATAAACTCACACTTTACCTGGCCATAAATAAGGGCAGGAATGTGTGTGAAAGTGGTATGTGCAGGTAGAAACGCAGAGAAAGAGAGAGAGAGCATACAGAACAATTATTTCAAACAATGGAGGAATCAATAAATACCAATAACTTTTGGAACAATTGGAACACTCTCTATAGACCACAAAAGGAAGAATTGGCCATTCAAAATGAGAACATATGGAGGACACACTTTGAAAATCTGTACAAAACAACTGAAACAAATTCTGCTCGAAATGAAATAAAAACCACATTAGAAAAAAATTAAAAGACAATCAGAATCCCCTGGATTTCCCAGTCACAGTAAATGAGCTAACAGACAGACTACATGCACTAAAACCCAACAAAGCATGTGGCATCGACGGCATATTAAACGAAATGATCAAACACACAAATTATCAATTCAAAACTGCAATAACCAAATTATTCAACATTGTTTTGAGTGTAGGATATTTTCCAGACACCTGGAATAAAGGCCTAATTACACCCATCTTTAAACAAGGAGACAAGTTTGATCCAAGCAATTACAGAGGCATATGTGTCAATAGCAACCTGGGGAAGATATTCTGTTCGATTATTAACACAAGATTACAAAACTTTCTCAAAACCCACAAAATCTTGGAAAAAAGTCAAATTGGATTCCTGCCCAAACACAGAACATCTGACCACATTTATACCCTCCACACTATCATTGATAAACATGTACACCAAAACAAAACCAAAATCTTTGCTTGCTTTATCGACTTTGAAAAAGCTTTTGATTCAATCTGGCATGAAGGACTCTTTCTAAAACTACTGGAAAATGGGATTGGAGGGAAAACTTTTGATTTAATCAGCACCATGTATAAAAACAATACATGTGCTGTAAAAATAGGGAATAATCGAACAGAATTTTTCTCTCAACAACGAGGAGTTAGACAAGGTTGCCCATTGAGCCTCACTCTGTTTAACATTTATATAAATGCATTAGCCAAAGAATTAAACAATTCGACTGCCCCCAGCCCAAGCCTAACTGAATCAGAAATCAAATGTCTCCTCTATGCAGATGATTTAGTCATTCTGTCAAAAACAAAAGAGGGACTACAACAGCTCCTCCACATCATAGAGACATTCAGTCAAACATGGGCTCTTAAAATCAACCTAGCAAAAACAAAAATAATGATTTTTCAAAAGAGACCCAGGTGTAAGGAAAATAAACACACTTTCAGAGCGGGAAACCAGGTCCTCCAACACACCCATGAATACACCTATCTGGGACTAAAAATCAG